GCCACATGCCGGATGAGCGGCTTGGTAAGTCCTAACACACTTCATTCGTGGTTCGTGTTGAGTTCAATTCTTACCGACAACTCCGTATGTTCCAGCTCCTGCTGAGCTCAAAATAAGGGAGGAAGATGACCAGAGGTGTAAAATAGCTAAGGAAGAGGACAAGGTCAGAGAAACGAAACTGGAATAAGATTTTAAATGAAGAGCAAGTGTTCGAAAGGTAGCGTCGAAATAGCTGGACGGGGCGCGAGAAATTCGATGCGAACCTCGCCTCTATTAGCGGAAAAGATAGGGAGGAAACAGAAAAGGGTGATCACAGACGAAACAAGAGGAGAGGAAAGTGCAACCAGAAAACAAATTAAACTGAACCTGCACGCGATAGTAAGGTGCGTCGAATGTGGTATCAGACCTACAGAGCATGGACAACTCACTCAGCCTCCATTGCAGTAGTCTTCTCTTCCAGTTGTTTTCGTGTTTCTTCTAGTTCTTTGGTAATTTTCTCATTCTTTTCACGCAACGCCTCACAATCGGATATGAGCGACCGAACGCGAGCCATCTGATTTGCAAGAGTTATTGATGATTAGATTAGAAAACTTCAGACTTAACTTCAGACTCAAAAAGCTCAGACTTCGAAGGCCTCCACAGCAGACAAGTAAATCAAATGCTACCTCAGTAATACGAAAACTCACATCTGCTTCATTGTTGTTACTTCCTGCTCCTCTGAACTGCAAGCGCAGCTTCTCGCTTTGAGCCAGCGCTTGATCCTTGGCTGACAGAAGTAATTCCATTTCCCGTTCTCGTCGCTAAAGTGGTAGTGGATAAGAATGGTCTGAATTACAGCATTGCTAAATTCTGCAATGTATCAAATGCTCGTAATGCGTGGAAAGCGCTTGCTTGCAAGTAAGTATGGTGAGTTGAAATTATAGGTTGTAGCTACTACTGACCTAAGCCCCTTGCCGGTAGCATCTATGTCCAAAAGTGTGACAAAAATTCAGACAGTAACGAAGCAAGTTCTCGAGTCTCTTACCTCCATTAATGAAATCTTCTTTTCATAAGCGGATAGAACATCTGACATCTTCGCGTCTTTTACCTGAATGAAAAACGTATTGCCTAAAAAAGGAATTCTCTGTTCAAACATACATTGAATCCATCTCTTATCCTTTGCAACACGTCGTCAACTACTCGCTCATTCTCTTTCGAACTTCGCCTTGGTGACATTAGTAAAGCTGGCACGGCCGCTGTTGTTTCCATAGGCTCACAACTTCTGGACCTGAAATGCCTGTACAAGAAAATCAGAAAACAGAAAGAAATTAATAGGTTAGAAATATAAAAAGATTCATTATGTGAGAGAAACGGAGCAAAATCTTATAAACTGCAGAAAGGAAACATTATGTGTTGCACCACATCGACTATGGGTTAACAATGTAAGACAACTAACAAATAAACGTGACAGGCGTTTTGTTACATCCACGGTTCTTTTCAAACCCTATATTCATAAGGGGCTCCAACATGTCTTCCTTGTTCTAAGGCGAGATGCGTAGGCGGCCATTCCATTAATGGGCACGCTAATTCTCTTCAGATTCTTAAGCGACCCATGCGATGCTTTGTTGCCGTAACCCAACATTCAAGCACAGAACGGAGGGAACCAAACACTTCATTCTTTAGTTATATCAGCTATCGAAGTTACAAAAAGCTTTGATGCACTCTATCCCGTTTTTTGGAAGCACTTCTTATACGATGTCATCTGCGGTTACATCGTATAAGAAGTGCAGCTTACATGATTTTATAATGATTGATTGAGGCTACCCTGATTGCATTTTGCCGTGCTGTTCCTAATTCTTAGCAGATACTAAGAACTGCAGGAAAATTCTGCACTGAAAGAACTAACCTCGTGTCGTTAGAAGTGTTCGGCGAGGTCATGCAACTATCAGAACTGCTTTGCTTGGACTGGGAGCAGGACGCAATAAGGTCGCCCAGCCTAAACATCAACTTCCTAGTGAATTGTGATATTGCGATCATTGCACTTCAACCGCCTTTGAGAGAAGAATGTGAAAGCATTGGAATATGATACCTGTAACGCTTTTGAACATAAGAACTAACCATCGGCTAGGAAAAGCTTGCAGTTGTGAGCAGTGAGTATAAATAACCAAAGCGTTATGCACCATTTCATGGTCTCCATAGGACAACGCATAAGCAAGAAAAGATACTAGTCGTGGATCCTGTAATTGGACTGAAATATTGTAAATGATAGAAATGAATTGCTAAATCTTTATCCTGAGAAATAGTGCTGTTACCCTAACAATTCCTTGTTCTAGCGGGAAGAAGGCCGCTATCGAATTTTAGCCGCTGCTACTTAGATGTCCCCAAAAACATTATTTTTGATTTATCCCTGAACTTCCAAAAACAAGGATAGGTTCCAGTAATTCAACATGTCATCTTAAGGCAACCGCCAACTGACGAGAAAAATGAAAGGAGAAGCGAGAAAGGGTAGGGAGCGGTATAGGGTAAGTGCATGGAGAAGGACGAAGTTTTCGGGTCAGAGAGTTGTGCTCAAATGACTTGATTACGCTGTTTGAAGATCACTCTCGAGACACTGCCTCTAAGCTCGAACAACCAATCGCCATACGTAAAGAGGACGCAG